AGCCCTAACTAGTTAATCCCTAACACACACTGCTACTCCCAGAGTTGCCTGGCAACTGGCAGGAGGCGTGTCAGAGAGCAAGAAAGGCCTAAATAAATGAGCTGGAGCCTGGGCTGCTGCTTGACATGGATAAAGGGGGTTTCTCTGAATGGGGCTGCTTGGCTGCTGTGGTTCTGTCATTTAAGCCGAGAAGAACAAGTTGGCTTGGCCAATATTGTTAAATACTGTATCTTGGGCTTTGCACATGATATTCTCTCGGGGACTGAAAAATGGGTCATACACCCTTGAGATTTGCAGATGCCCTCGCCTCTGCCAGGCAGCAGCAACCTCCAAAGCCTAAAGACAGGACAGGATGCAACGCAGATGTACTGCAGAGGCTGAGGCCACCTTCGTCTCCACCATTTCTCTGTTCCTTAATTTCTTTTATCTGTCCTTCCATCTGCTCTTCCAAAATACACTCCGTTGCCTACACTGTGCCATGACACGTGCCAGGCACTGAAGTACAGAGAGAAAGCGTTAATAACCTAGGACATGTGGAAACCAGAACAAAGGCAGCAGGGTGTGGTAGACGAGCTTGGGTTTTGGAATCAAGGCTGACCTGAGTTTGCATCGTGACTCTTCTACATACCAGGAAGTCACTACCAATCTGAGTCTCCATTCCCAGGTGTAAAATGGATACAAGGGGCCGTGGTTTCTCAAGGGAGTCATGGGGAATAACTGAGATCACGGATGTAAAGCAACTTGGAGTTGAACAGAGCCCTGCCAGGATGGGAGGCCGCTGAGCAGGTAGTAGACTTGGCTGTGGCTGAATGCCCTTGGCTTCTCACTTTCTGACCCCCAGAAGGCCCCTTTGAAACAGTTTATCTGGCCCTAAAGAGACACCCCCCCTCCCCCGTAAGTGAACACAGGCTTCCCCTTGGGACGAACACAGGGCTCACTCCAGCAAATGGGCAGAAGGCATGGCCTTGGCTGGGGCTTCCTTCCTCTTTCCTTCTGGGCAGGGGAAAGAAAATAAAGCTTAAGAGTCTCTCTTGGTCAGCTGCATTTTGAAATGCTTCCAGTTAGAAAGGAAAAAAAAAAAAAAAGCCACAGAGTTAAAAATCTCAAGTGAGCTCTGGGCTGGGGGAAGGATCCTCAGAACATGGAGGAGAAGTTGCTGGTCTCTGCCTCTCAGGTCAGGGTTGACCCCTCCTCACAGAGCCAGGGGGGCACTGTGCAGCTAAGCAGGAGCTGTCCTGGTGCACCCCTGGTTGGGGCCCTTGTCAGCACAAAGGAGGGGGCGGGCCCTGAGCTGGGCTTTTTTAACCTTCACTACCATCCTGCCAGTAGGGAATTCCTCAGCCATTTTTATGGAAGAGAAAATTGAGGAGCGGAGAAGTGAGGTAACCTACCCAAAGTCACAAGTTAGTAAGGAGCAGAGTAGAAAACAGCACACTCAAAGTCTGTCCTGTTTCATATTAAAAAAACACTGTGATTTTGCAGTAACCTGGGTCCCATGACTGCACCCTACTGGCCCAGGGTTGGAAGCCACCACACCAGCTTGGCAAGCACTGTGAGTACACCACAAAGCATGGAGCCCAGATGAGCTGGAGGGGTCGCAGGGCCACTGCTGGTCTGGCCTCCATGCACACACACTTCTTCCCAGACCTTCTAACTCACAGGGTTCTCTTTGCTCTCAGCCTCCCACTGGCCTCCAGACTCTCCATCCGCTGCTCAGGCCCTGCCCTGCACCCTGCCTCAGAGGTTCCTCTCCAGACTACAGCCTGGTTCACCAGCTTTACCTCACTATGTGTATCCAGAGTCTTCAATACACTTGGGTTCTTTGACCCAGTAAATCCACTTCAGGGAATCTGCTTAAGGAAATAATTCAAATCGTGCATGAAAATTTATATAGAGATGTTGTTCACTGCAGTGTTGTTTAAAATGGTGAAATGTTACTGGCAATCAAAAGGACCAGCATCAGAATAATGTGGTGGGCTTTAGTACTGATTGCAGATCATGGAGCCTGACAGAAATCTCTGGTAACAGAGCCCAGACAGTTGCATTTTTTAAAGCCCCACAAGTGATTCTGACCCACAACTGGGGTTGAGAACCACCGGAGTCATGTGATGGGATATTTCTAGCCATTATAAATGATGCTTAAGAAGAGTTTTTATATGACATGAAAAAAACGTTTACAAAATGCTAAAAGGAAAAAACAAATAACAGGAATACTGGATTGCTTTGCGAGGATGATCTCAACTGGCTAAAAGAGAATAAAAAAACTAAAAACCAAAATGAAACAAAAACAAATCAGAAAAACCTAGAACCTAGGTAGAAACATTCTAACATGCTATTTTAACTCCAATGATAGGATCCTGGGTGTTTTCTCATTTCTAGTCCTCTGAACTTTAAACATTTTCTCACCAAGAGCAGATACTGTTTTTATAACCAGAGAATAAACTAAAAGACAAGAGGCCCTAGAGAGGCCTCCCTATTCCCTCAGCACTGTGCTGCCTGCCACCCCCAGCAGGCTCACCCAAGGCACCAATCTTCCTAGCCATGCAGCCATGCCCACCTCAAACAGGACTTTGGTCATGTCACACCCCTGTTCAAAAACTTACTGATACTGCTAGCCTACCAGACAAGTCTCTGCAGAATCTGCCTCCTACCTCTCCTGAAGCCCCGTCTCCCCACCCAAAGTCATTACTTCAGACGGTTAAGAGTTCGGCTGCTAACCAAAAGGCTGGCAGTTCAAATCCACCTGTCACTCCTTGGAAACCCTAAACGGGGCAGTTCTACTCTGTCCTATAGGGTCGCTATGAGTTGGAATCGACTCAATGGCAACGGGTTTGGTTTTTTTTGGTTCACTGGCCTTGCGGGGTCCTGCCACCAAGCCTTTGCTCATTCTGTGAACTCTATACCCCCGACAGGAAGGAGCCCTCTCCCTTTCTTTTTCCATACCCTACTCATCAGACCCAGTTCAAGTTTCACCTTCCTTATGAAATGTTTTATGGCTCATCTGATCCTTATAACAACCTAGAGATATAGAAAGAACAAGTATTCTTATCCTCATTTTGCAAGTGAAGAAACAGAAGTTTGCTCAAGCTGATACAGCTAAGAAATACAGAGTCAATCTCTAAACTCCAGGTCTCCTGTCCTTAAATCCACAGCTTTTCTGATGCAAGTGCAGGTACAGCCATAAACTCTGCTTAAGGAGCAACCTGAGTCCAGATCACATACCCAGCAACATGGACCAAGAGTCAACAGCCTCTGGATTCTAGACACACATACTTGATGACAATGAGGTAACTGTAAAAGTGAAAACTCTTCATGTTTGCCGGTGTTCCCAGCAACTCAAGGAAGGAAATGGGCCAGTTGTCCATTCCTCATTTTAGAGATGGGAAAACAACAGTATTTTCCTTGGCTTATACCAGATTTCAAATCACCACTCATTTCTGACTGGTTTGGCTGAGTCCAAGACACCAACCAAGAATCAGAGCTGCCTCTCTACCAGACAAGCAGGACATGGGGAACTTGCTTTAAGCTGAAGGACTTTAAAGGACCTCAGGGAACTACTTCTTGGGGAGGCAAAAATAAGTGCATCCCTCTGTTACGTGATCATGTACGTGACATTGTCCAAAGCTGAGGCAGCCTAGAAAGTAAGGCCCAAGTGCAGGGGGAGAACAAGTATAACATGGCATTAGGATGCTGCTCCCTGAACACCCACTCGCCTGACTACTTCACAGAAGTTACGTCCCTGGGTGAAGGGAAAACAAGGTGTTTCCGAACACTCTTTATGTTTACCTTAGACCCACAATGGAGTCATAGTAGTAAAAAGATACATTAACAATGTGTAATTGTGGCTCATAAAGAATCATGTGTGACCACAGTTCACTGTCAGAGTTTTTACATGAAATGCATTGCCTGATATCCACTCATCTTTTGTCATTTAATTCAATAAAATGTTATAGATTAAAACAAAAACAGAAACAAACATCCTAGCCTGCCATCAGCCACCTCCTCAGGATGAAGGGAGCAGCCTCAAGATCACCCCTATGCTCCTGAGAGAGGGCTGCCAGCAAGGTTCCCCTCCAACATTTCCCTTACACAGGATCCCACAGGTCCCCAGACTAATATCTCCATTCTCCTTGGTCACGAGGCCAAGCGTAGGCCTAGTACAGGGGTATCAGATGAGAGCTTCTCACTGAAGCTGGGAGAATTAGTACTCTTTGGTTTCAGGGAAGACATGATGTCTTCATATCCTCGCAATAACTAACCATCTTGTAAGGCAGGCAGGGGACGTGGGTGAGTCAACTGAGGCTCAGAGACGTGGAAGTGCCATAGAGGTGGGTAACATCATTGCCCAGTTCCCAGTGTGCTCTGTAGTCATTTATACTATGGCCACTTGCTGGAGTCTCCAAGAAGTGAATCTCTAGGACGTTTTGTGTTCTCAAGTGTGGAACAGAGGTCTCTTTAAAGGAAAATGGGAAAAGCATGGACTTTGAGACCATCTGGCTCTTCCACTGGTTAGCAAATCACGTCTCTTCTCTGAGTCTCAGCCTCCCCATTTGTAAAGTGGAGATGACCATTGCTACCTCATAGGCTTATTGTGAATCCTCAATGGGAGCAGGTGTGCGTGAAGGGCCTGGCACTGTATCTAACACACAGTCGGAGCTTAGGATGGGTGTGGGTTATCTGAACATTCACAGGAATGGTGAATGTTTCTCATATGATGTAACGGCTTCCTTGAGCTGAGAGGCAAGGCAAGGCAAGGCAAGGCAAGGCAACACAGACACACAGACACACAGACACACAGACACACACAGACACACAGACACACAGACACACAGACACACACAGACACACTCGCTCGCACGCACGCACGCACACACGCACACACACTGCTTTCTAGGTGAATTCAGCAACCGGAAGAATCATGGGACTTCATGTGGCCCCTAAGGTATGTTTCCTAGCCCTGACCAAACACAAATTCTGTAACATGCCAAGAGGCTACTTACCGGCTCAATTTTTAGAGCATTTCGGTAGCTACCAAAGAAAGCAGCCTGGGCCTTGAGGAATGCTCTGGCCACACCATCACCAGTGGTTGTGGAGACCTTCTTTAGCCTGCTCTTCAGTGAAGAAATCTGGTGACAGAGGAAAAAAAAAAAAGTACAGGTTGAGGACAAGGTTGAAGGAATATGGCTGTCTAAGCCCAGCACATACCCAGTGTTAGAAGATCCCTTGAAGAGGGTATCGATTTGATACCTCAGCTACTGGGAGAACAAAAATGCATTCAATATTAGAACAGGTGTTTGAAATTTAAATGACTGTTACTTCCATTAAAGCATGTCTAAAATATATATACACATATATTTCCTGAGCAGTCACTATGTGCCAGGTAAGTGCTTTCACATACATTTTGTTTCTTTAATTATTTCAATACTCCTGTGAGGAAGGGATTAGTGTTTCCATTTTACAAGGAGGAAGCAGTCTCAGAGAGGTTAGGTTACATGCCTAGAAACAAACCCAAGAAGCAGCCAAGTTGGAAACTGAATTGCAGTCTTATCCTCCAAAGGAAAAGTGGCAACTTGTAGATATATGCTCAATAGTTTTAAAACAGAATGAACAAGAAAACCAAAGCAATGGGAGAAGAAGAAGAACCAGGTATACATTTAGGGTACAAATGTAAGCTGTAAGGTCCTTACATGGTAGCTAGAAATGGGTTGCAAATTTGACTTTAGAGCCTCCTAATGGCCAAAGCAAAGAGGGAAACAAGAAAAATAGTGAGAATCCCTGGGTCCATGTATTACAAACAAATCAGTTGCTCAAATGAACACAGATTTCCCAGAAAGTGAGATCTAAAAGAGATTTTTCCTATGAGTCTTCAATGTTGGAAAGTATGTATGATATGGTGGCTGTCACTCTCAATATCAAAGACAGTATTAAGCTTTCTGGACTGTTTTTAATATGTCCTCCATCATCTCAGGATGCCATGCTGTACAACTTCAGGGGCAACATTAACACTGTGTTCCATGTGAAAGGTACCCCTGGAATTGTGCAATGTGGTGACCTTCAGTCATTCATTCACTCCTTATCAGTATTTCTCACATGCCTAGGACTACGTTAGGTGTTAAGTATACAGGGGTGAGCAAAACCTGACGTGGGCCCTGGCCTCATTAAGCTTACATTCTAGTGAGGAAAATACTAGCACATATGACATTGCTAGTGTGACATTTTTAGTATGAATGACTGATGATTTATTTTTCTGGGCAGATGATCCATAGCTTTCTTCAAATTCCTAAAGGTGTCTGTGAATCTAAAAATATTAAGAATCACTGACCTGGGATGGACTGATGGACTCCATATACTTTAGAAATGCTGCATGGCTATTATTCTTGTTACCAAGTTTCTGATAAGGGATTTTTTTTAACAGTTTATTGAGATATACTTCACATACCATAAAATTCATGTATTTAAAGTATATAGTTCAGTGGTTTTAAGTATATTCATAAGGTTATACAATCAACATTACCACATAATTCCAGCACTTTTTATCACCCCCAAAAGAAACCCTGTACTCATTAGCAGTCATTCCTCATCCTCCACCAACCCTGCCCACCTTTCCCATCCCCCAGCCCTACGCAACAACTAATCTATGTTCTGTCTCTATCAATTTGCCTATTCTGGACATTTCATACAAATGAAATCACACAATATGTGCTATTTTGCGACTGGCTTCTTTCACTCAGTACAATGTTTTCAAGGGTCATCCATGTTTTAGCACATATTAGTACTTCATTCCTTTTTATGGCTGAATAATACTCCATTGCATTGATATACCACATTTTATTTATTCATTCATCAGTTAAAGGACATGTGGCTTATTCACACTTTTTGGCTATTATGAATAATGCTGCTATGAACATTTATGTACAAGTTTTTGTGTAGAGACAGCAGGGATTTTGAGGCAAGAACCTGAAGGACCAAAATCTTATGTTGCCAGACCTTATGCAATGAAGATAGCCTGAAAGGACATATGAAGTCACGCAGCACAGTGCTTAGCATACAGAAAACCATCAATAATGTTAGCTGAGTCTTGGGGGAAAAAAATCCTATGCTGTAGCTAAAGGGGCCTGCAATTTGCTTGGACAGTAAACTGAATGAAGGTGGGGTGATGTCCTCTGATATGTCAGAAGCACATGGGGAATGTGCGTAGAGGGGGTGGCTATCCCACTTCTGCTCGCAAGTGGGCTAAGGAAAACAATGTCCCTCCGAAAGCAGCTTGGAGTCTGTGTCAACACCTGTGTATAAAGAACCGATCTATTGTGACCTCCCCCTTCCTGGGACACAAGCTCCAGCACCACTGCGGTGAGAGCCCACAGAGGAGCAGTGTAGGTCACGCTCAGCAGCTGGCAGTCTCTGCCATGGACATTCAACTTGGAATAAAAATGAGAAAGAGAAACATGCTTTATTTAAATGTTAAAAATACTGCCCACCCTCCACCCCCAAATAATAAAAATCCTACCCCTCTCAGGGACTAGGGTGACATTTCCATCCTTTGAAATGGTGCAAGCCACTGTCACTCTTCCTCTGGCTCCTCAAAGGCCTTGGGCCACCTGTGCTGCAGATTATTCCTCACTTAACCTTCTCTGGCCTTTCTCTTTCATTCGGGAGGTGTTTAATTACCTCGGATTCACAACGCTGCACTTCAGGTGAGCCTTTCCTAATGGCCTCATTACCATTTTACACAAAGAAGTAGTCACTGATTGTAACTTAGCAAATACAGAGTGTGAGCCTTCCTGTTCCCCCAGCTGGTCTGAAACCAGCCAAGTGGTCCTGGGCTCCCGGTGCCCTTGTCACCACTTAGGCCAAGACTTCTGAAGCTCTCTCCTCACCCTACAATGTGGAGAAGCTTTTGTCTTGACCTTTCAGCACTTCAAACTTTGAAACTTCAAGTATGTGCGCACCTGATAGCTGGTGATAGCATTTTGTCCTTTAAATAAAAGTGAGGGAAGAAAATGTAAGGTTTAAAAAACCCACAGTCATACATCTAAAATTTAACTTGCCCTGAGTATTCCTGGGGCGCTGGTCAAATCATTAACACTTGCTTAAAAAAAAAAAAAAAAAAAAATCCATTGCCGTCGAGAAGATTCCGGGCTCACGGCAACCCTACAGGACAGAGTCAAACTGCTCCATAAGGTTTCCAAGGAGTGGCTGGTGAATTTGAACTGCTGACCTTTTGGTTAGCAGCCAAGCTCTTAAACCACTGTGCCAACACTGGGCTCATTTGGGGTAATCTAGGGTGATAAAATTTGTGGTAAGAATAGCTTCCTCCTTTAATCAGGTATCATAGGAGGAAGACAGAAAACAAAGGAAGAGAGTTCAAAATGGAATTCATCAGCTTCTCTCTGAAGTCCCCCTTCCTCTCCTCTGTGTTCCATCTTGGTTACTGCATCAACCAACCAGTCTCCTAGGCCAGATATCATACCCATATGGTATCCATATTCCATACTTCTTCTCTATCCCTTCCCACAACCATTCTCCACATCTTATCAATACCTGTACCACCACAAATATGCCCAGAATCTGCCCTTGCTCTCCGTGCCCGTGACCTTGGGCCTGTGCTGCTCAGCTCCATCCACTCTCTCGGGCCCAGATTGGTGAAGCAGTTTCCTAAGAGGGCTCCCTGCCTTCAGTTTCTCCTCCATGCCATGTATTAAATTTTAACCATGCAAGGATGCTTTCACTTTCAATTTTATACACTTTTGATTGTCCTTTATAAAAAAAGCATATGTGACTTTTAGAATAAAGAATTAACATGAGATATTTTTCTTTAATCATCAAATTAAGCATTGCCTTGAGTTAAGGGAAAGGAGTGCTGGTTGTGTAGTGGTTAAAGTGCTAGACTGCTAACCAAAAGGTCTGTGGTTTGAACTCATCAGCTGTACCAAGGGAGAAAGATGTGGCAGTCTGCTTCTGTACAAATTTACAGCCTTGGAAACCCCATGGGGCAGTTCAACTCTGTCCTATAGTGTCACTATGGGTCAGAATTGACTTGACAGCAGGGGATTCGGTTTTGAGTTAAGGGAAAGAGGAAATCCAGACATCCCCCCATCTGTAAAGCCTTCCCTGGCTCTTGAGACTGGGTTAATGATGCCCTGCCCAGTCTCTCTCGGACTGTGTAGGAGGTTCTACTTTGGGTCATGGTGTCTGCTGCCTCTCCTGCTAGACTGTGATTTCCAGAAGGCCCAGCAGTCAGCACAGTGCTTGACCCACTGTAGTCATTGAGCACTTTCTGTTGAATGGAAGAACAGATGAATGAGTGTTCTGACATGGTAAAAGGCATTTCCAACAGCTGAGCCTCTTTGCTTGGAGAAATATCTTAAGATCACATTTTTAGATGGCCAGTGACTGATCATTAGAAGAAACTGGTCTTGGTTGTGAAGGACCGGGGGAGAAAGTGATACTCATCTATTCCCCCTCTGCAAAAGGCCATCGCTAAGATGTAACCAAAATTGCACGGAAAATGAACCTCTGGATGCCTAATGAGTTAAAGCAGACAACTAGATCAGTCTTACACAACACTGCAAATTCAACATGTCCACTTACAAACGCGGTAAGTGCAACGTTCCTCCTTTAATTGGTAACTGTCGGTTCTACCTCCTGGGTCTCCAGTCTTCATCTGCTCCTCCCTATCCCCACTGTACTCTCAGGCAGTAGAGCAGAGTTTGAATCACATAAGCTTAAGGTCTAAGACTGAAAACCTGGTTTCCTTACTTTCTTAACTTTTCTGAGCCTCAGTTTCCTTTGCTGTAAAATTAGGTATCTACACCGCATATAACATTGTGAGAATTAAAATATGATAATGAATGTAAAACACTGAGCAGAATACCTAGAACCCAAAAAAGGCTTAATAAATGGGAGCTGTTTGTTTTGTTATTAGTTCAGGTTTCATCTTTTACCTAGACTACTGCAACAGTCTTTGAACTAGTATCCCTTCCTCTGTTTTCTTCCTGTTCTAATCAATTCTTTGCACTGAGTTATCTTTCTAAGAGGTTGAATCATGCCACTCCCTTTCTCTAAAAATTTCAGTAGCTCCTTGCTGCTAATTACGACAAAGTCCAAATTCCTTAGCACAATATTC